ATACTTTAAATCAGTCTGTAAAGAATGACATACTTTAAATCAGTCTGTAAAGAATGACATACTTTAAATCACTCTGTAAAGGATGACATACTCACCCACTTGGTTATACGATAATAGGTAAAAAGTATTCCCGAGAATTATCCAGTTGATGCTAAAAACCCTCATTCCATGAATCACAGGAAGATCGTGATTTCCAGATTTTGTGGTTAGCGTAATTCCCACGTTGGTGTATAGAGAAAAACATCTAATAAATTCTAGAAATCGACCTGAGTAAAAACAAAGAAAAATCATCTTCTCTCTCAGTGGTCCGATCGTAACAAAGAAAAGGGGGGAAAAAGGTTTACAAGCTCGTTCAACATAAATAACTAATTAAAGTATAGTGTGCTATTACTCAGGATTTTATAAAAATGTCGAAGTTAAATATATTTTTACTGAAGAGAAGCATAACGTTAAACAGTTATTTGGTGAACAAACTATCAATTTAATTATGAATTATCTCTGTTATGTTCCACATAGACGATTATACATATTTATATATATATATATATATAGAGAGAGATAAATAAATAAATAGCTTACAAACTATTGATTACATTAATTGTTAACAGGCGATTAAATCAGCACTATAAACCACCAATAAATTAAATATCGCATTACCGTTATCGGTCCAGGTTGTCAACTTATTGTCATAGCGGATAACCTCTGTGGCAATAGCACCCAATTGGATTGGGGATATCCCACCTATCAGACAAAATCCAAACGCTGATGTTAATCTAGTCAGCCGTCATGGAAAATCAAATAAGGGTACGAAACTGAGTGCTTACACCCACAACGTCTCAGCTTCTACTGCCTTTCACTGTTTATAGCCAGTTGTGGGAAGGCAGTTACCCTTAAGTTTCTTTAAGTAGAAATAAACTGAAATGAAGCTACCCTAATATTTCTACTAATTAAACTAGTAAATTAATTGACTAAATTGACATAGGCGTTTGTATTTTGTGTGATAGATGGGATATCCCCAACGCATTTGGGTGCTATTACCACAGATATTATCCATCATGACAATACGGTGACAACCTGTACCGATAATGGTAATGCGATATATACAGATATATGCACAGTAAAATAAATTAATACGGAAATATCTATCAAGAAAAGACTCGTTTCGTATAAGAATAGAAGCTTAATTAGATCTTCAAATTTGCAGTAGGCTGGACCATACAGATATGTATCTGTGTATGTTAATACCTGGTGGGTAAGCTCTTTGTTATATTTAGAGCAGAACATCTGGTCAATACATTATCATAGAATTTATTTATGAAAGTGCATGGAACGTTCCTTCAAGTACCCTGTAGCATGTTACACAATATCACTGGTTGCTTGGTTACCTATTTAGCTCTCAGTGGTGTTCAGATCCGAACTGTGGTCAAGGTGGGATAGCCAATGTTCCAGCTACCTGTTTCCTCTCCTGGTAGGTTTTCACCATATTTATCACTTACTTAGGATCACTATCCTGTTGAAACCAAACCCCTGATCAATTAGCCGTGTTGTATTCTGATTGATTTCCATATAGTTTTGGGAACTGTATTTCTTTGCTATCAGTATGACATAAATATTTACTATGTCTCCAACTTTCTTGGAGAGACGCTGTTCCAAATCTGCGTAGATTCACTTCCACATTTCTTTGGAGTTATTGTACTTTGGTAGTGTTACTGTCCCCCATTTCCTTCTTTGAATATGCTGTTGTAAGATTATTGCTGAATAACTCACAATTGAGCTCATTAGTAAGCTGTTTCATTTCCACTACCTATTTCAACCTTTTCGGTGCCTCTCTACAGCGAACATCGTTTGTTATTGTCCTCGTAATGATTTATACACCTGTACTTGAAGCCGGGTTCTTGGTTAGATCTCTAATGGACCGTTTATTTTGCAGGGAGCATGTCTTAAGAAATTCAGAACTTTTGAAACGTCTTGCATACGGCACATGCTGATACATACAATCTGTCGCATGAAATTGTCCTTATAACCCAAAACACTTGCCATGAGAAATTTCCTTCGTTAAAGGCCATGCCTACTTCAACAAATATACTGGAGGAAGTGTATTAATGACTGTTCATATAATACATAGGCTGTTATGACACTCTCTGGTTAGTTGAATAGCAACCAGTCACGGAGTTCAACATTAGACGTTCACTAATATGATATATTGTTCTGTGCATGAACATTAATGATTCTTGCCAGTTCTTTGAAAACCAAATATTTATATATTGATAAAACCTTTGAGAAGTTGTAATCCATCTTTTCACAAACAGAGTAAATGTATAAAAATATATGTTCCCCTGTATTATAGAACGTTTCACTATATATATATATATATGTTCCCCTGTATTATAGAACGTTTCACTATATATATATATATATATGTTCCCCTGTATTATAGTACGTTTCACTATATATATATATATGTGTTC